ATTCTTATAATAGAGTACCACACCAAACATTTGGTCGCAAACTAGAGAATTCCTCGCATTATGAAGATCAGAGCAACGGAATTCACTCCGGGCCATTATCAGAATACGACCATTATTAGAACAAATTTAAGAAATTCATAGATTTTATAGATTTCACGGTTAAAAAGTCGTTGAAAATCAAATACAAAGATCCGACATTAAGCAGATAGAAAATTTCGTGCGGTCCGCTTATTCGTTCCGTGGCTTAGTTGACTTAGCGTCTGGCACTATTTGCTAGAAGACATTGGTTCGAATCCGGTCGGATCGAAGGAATTTTTTTTTGTTGTATTAATAACTATAATAAACTAGTGGAGTCATTTCACAAAAATAATTGAATATCAATTTAATGCAAATTTCAATTTAATAAAGTTCATTTCTCAAATTGGTCCTACCCGGAATCGAGCCCAGAACCTCCTCATCCGGTGCTCGCAATGCAAACTCTTGGGTCACGTCGTCAATAATAAAAATTCCATGACTCTACGGAACGAATATACAACATAAACTATGTGATAACATCGTGAACAGTCCTTGAAGACGTATAAAGTCTTTTTTAGACCATATGAATCAGTATAGGGACTAATTAAGACTTAGGTTCCAAAAACTGAACCTTCGTTTTCTTATTAGGAGAGAGAGATCTTTTCCCAGCAGTGGGAAGTATTACATATAAAACTGCCTCCGTGGCCGTACGGTTACCATTCTGCTCTACCACGCTTTGGTCCTGGCTTCTATTCCTAGGTCGGGACAAGTATTTATATGGCGTTCATTAATATTTCTCATGTGTTTGGGTGCGGGCTATGTTTGCGTTTTTTTTTTAAGAAACAAAGCATTGATGCTTAACAGGAACTCTACGTGTTTTTGGTAGCGGTAGGGCTCCTTGTGAGAGAGTTCGTCCGGGAAAATACTGCCGCCTTACCCATTTCTGCCGCCAAACAGTAGAGTGAGCATTACTGCGCTCCAGTTTTGAAGAATAAGAGATGCTGGTGAAATTGCAGGCACAGTGGCAGTATCCCTCAGATATTTGTGTTTTAAAGCTCTGAATAGTATGGCAACTATGCTATGGACAGGCATGTCGCTTAAAACACAGGGCGCACGACGTCTTCGTCCGGTCACGTGTTATCATAAAAAAGTAATATGATAAAGGTCTTCTGACCCTCTTGAACGATAAGTACTAGGGTTGCAAAATTAGTATTAATCATTCACGTTTTTAATCTGATCTATGAAGCTGATAAGCTAATATTTCTGACAAATATTCCTTGTCTTCTCGTACGTTTTAACTTCTGGAATGTCGTGTAAGCGCATGATTAGGGCGCGTTTATTCAACACGAATTTCATCGAGCTTACGCCGCGCAGTGACCGCGTACTTCTAAGTGTCATAGCAAAATACGCACTATTTACTTAGCTTTTACGTTTTAACTTAATTAAGCGAGGCTGGCTTGTCTTTGGCCTACGTGGCGGTGACGCGACGACCGCACTGCGGCCGGGCGGCGTCCGCGCGATTGTATTATTCCGAGGAATATAAATGTTGTTGCCTAGTAAATAGGATTCAGATTTACCATTAATGTACGTAAAAGCGCGGAGATTCCTAAAAACTTAAATTTGTGACGTCACTAACCCTCATTGGGCCAACATGAATACAACAGTGGCTATCAGATACACACGTAGAAATAATTATAAATTAGTAAAATACACATACTAATTCAGTAAGTTTCTTTAGTTAAAAATGGTTATAGACTTATAAATCTTAAGAAAACTGGTATAATTAGGACTTATTAACGTACATATTTGAACTTCGTGACGTCATACGTAACATGTTATGTGCAATGTCCGGATTACCGGTTTTGGTAAAAAAAAGGTGATTATTATTAGTAATGTTTCCTTAAATTCAGAGGATTTTTTCCTAAATTGTCAGGAAATTGTAAGGCAATAAGGAACTTCATTTAGAACCAAGCGTTTACGGAACACAGTATAAATATACCTAGTCATTGTCATATATTTAGATGAACGCTAAAAAAAGGTTGAATTATTATAACAATGTAAATACGTACCACTGGCCACATATACCGGAAACGTTTAGTAGAAATCGCAAGTTGATCAATGTCATTATTATTTTAAATTCATTCATGTTCTGGTATATGCGACATCGGTTATATGGACACCATCATCATCAGCCTATCGCAGTCCATATGTAGGCCTCTCCCATTGTGTGCCACTTCGCCCAGTTCTCTGCTTGTCGCATCTCTTTGCTGCCAGCAGCCTTTCGCAGATCGCAGAAAGGTGAAAAGGTGCAGTAAAGGCATTCTATTTATATTGAGCTAGCTGGTGCCCGCGACCGCGTCCGAGTGTGTTCTGCATACAAACTTTCATGCCCTATTTTACCCCCTTTAAGACTTGTTTTTGTGACAAAAGTAATCTATGTCCTTTTCTTAGATTCCGTCTATCTCTATATCAAAATTCATTAATATTGGTTCAGCGGTTTATTTGTGAAAACAACAGACAAACGGAGTTACTTTGGCATTTATAATATTAGTTTGGATTATAGTTCTACGAAGAACATGGCGTCGGTCATGCGTAGCGATCATTATTTCCTTAATTTTTGGGGAGGCCGATGTCTAGTAAAGAACAGTTTCGAGGTTAATGACTGCCACTATTTACCGGTTTTGGGACGACAGAGTTCCTTTTAGTTTATTCATAGGTCATATCTATAAAATGAAAGTTTGTAAGTTTACCCCGTATGCGTTAATATTCATCCGATTGCGATGAAACTTTCGCAAGTTGATGAGCACACACTCCCAAAAGTTTCTGAGCTGTAAGAACCATTTTGAAATATCAGGTGGCCCAGTTATTTCAATAAAAGAGAAACACAGTTGCATTTAAGCTTAGTTGGCTTACCGTTTGGCACGATTTGCTAGGAGATGTCGGTTCGAATCCGGCCGTATCGAAGGAATTTATTAAGTGTTCGACTTTGTATTAATAATTTATTAAATTAATTAATACACAATTATTTAATTTTATAAAACAGAAACAGTTTTTTTGTTTCAGTGGAATTGCAACGCCGGGTAAAGCTAGTATGTATTTCACAAACTCAATGTATTTAGTTGACAGGTACAAAATAAGTTTAGTTTGAATGTGCCCTGCCGGGCCAAACATTGGGCCAAGCATATTGAAGGCATATTATTCAACAGACTAAACCCTGGTGTAACAATGGATTTAATAAGTCAGTAATTTAAACGCGGTGATAGTTAAGTAGGTCAATTTTAATGGTAATAAAATAATAATTTGAGTAACGTTTGAATAAATATATATACAAATCGATTCCTTACTTTCTTAAACTCGTATCTTATATAAAGAGTGATTATTCAGAAGATAGCAAAACTTTCTATTTATTTTAAATTTCTTATCAAGGGTGCTACTTTGGACCATTACTTTAAGAATAGATAAAAGCCAGTGCATAAATATAAAGGAAATGTGATATGAAATCAGCCTGCAAAATTGGTATATAAACAATCCATTTTTTGCATTTCAGTAACTTTGTGTTTTAAGAAACGAGTTTAAGAAAGTAAGGCGACAAAATGTCAAAAATTAGACGATAAAGTTAGGGATTTGTCATTTAAAAATTCGGACACTGTATAAGTACCTACCTACATTTTATTAGTCAATAAGATGTTTAATGTTTATTAAATAACATAAGGTTTTTTTCTCAGACCTTAGTACTTTTGGAAAAATATTGTAAATTTGCATACAGCAGCTCACGTACGCACTAAAGTATGATCACAATATTAGCTAGCTGGTAATATTTGTACTTTGTTATGTGTAGTGTAGTATATATAAAAATCTAATGTTGTTTTCAGTTTCTGCGTGGGCAGCGAAGGAGGAGCGTACGAGGGCCGTGGATGGGAAGTCATAGGCATCCACGCGCCGCAGGCCAATAACGTCAGCATCGGAATTTGCCTTATCGGAGATTGGAGGTGTAAGTTTTAAGCAAAATAACTGTGTAATTCGAAGTCGCACCCTTGGTGAAATAAGTCTGCATCTGCAAAATGACTACTTTTCAGGAAAGAAGTTTAAAGATTCGACAAAAGAACTGTCGCTAACTTTTTTATGCTCTAATAGAAGAGTTTATAATAGATATGGATTATATATCTACACATAATTTACTTCATATAGTTGGTATTATTTTTACAAGTTTCATGTGATTAAAGCAATTTTGACGTATGATCTGGGCATGCCCAATTTTCTGCTTTGAATCGATTTTTTACATCGTAATGGATCATATGCCTCTGAATCGATCAAAAGATCGGATCATATGCTCTTGAATCGATTTAATAAAAATGGCAGCTTTTTTGGCTTCAGTCGGTTACGCCTTTCAATTAGAGTGATACTAGCCAGTGAGAAAAGACATTAAAGTGGCGACAATCGCCAAATATTGTAGACTTATTGGTACTTAGATGTCGCGAAACTGCTTTTCTTGCAGACTTATATAAAATTGGGGTTCAGAAAGGGGTTGTTTTATTTAAATTAGGAATACGATCTACAGGGTTCGATTCGCCTTAATGTTGAATCGATTTACTAAAAAACGCATTGAAATAAATTGATACAATAAATAGTTAGATCGTATACGATTGAATCGTACTGTGCACATGTCGCTTAATTTTACCAAGGTTACGATTTTTACACGCATTTTCCACTAAGCAGCTAGTCGCAGAAGGCTGGCCGCGCGCGACTCTTATTATTTCAAACAAATCACCCACCGACTCTGAAGTAAAACAGAGTCGCGCGCAGCCAGCCGCCCACGGCTTGTCGTTTAGTTGAAAATAGCACTTAGTTGTAGACGTTGTGTCGTTGAAGAGAATAATTATTGAGAATATGAAAATGATTAAATTATTTGCAGGCCCAAAGGCCTGTACGATACATACATAGGACTTGTAATATACTAGAATTGTTCAATATGCTAAAACCAGGGCAATAAAAAAAATCACGGAAAGGTCCAAACGGACATAAGACTGCAGTAGTAATTAATATGTTTTAATTTATTGTAATTTATATTATTAATTAATAATAAATTGAACTTAACAAAAATTTATTCAATATAATAATTTGTAAATCTAATGTAGCGTAAATTGGAATGTTTCTTTGTATAATTAAAAATAAGGTATTTATTTACTTAACTTTTTAAATCCGGAAAAATAGTTTCATTTCCTACATCACGGAAAGGGTTACCTATCAGAAGTCCGAAATGACGTTTTCCAGAAATAACGTTTGCTCGAATTTTCATAACCTCGAAAGTAATTTTGAGAGGAAAATGTTTAAACCTAACTTAACCTAACCTAACCGAACCTAATCGTGTCTTTGCGATAAACATCCAACATATCCTGAAAGAACAACGGTTCTTTCAGTCGTTATAATTCGATTTTCGGGGTAATGAGAATTCGAACAAACGTTATTTTGGAAAACATTAGTTTGTGATAAGTTACTACGGAAAGTTTTCATAATACATAAAAAGCTATGAAAACTTAAATATAATTTTATAGACATCTTTGTATTCGTTTAGTTTAATGATGGACTTTCATTTCCAATTTGCGATCACTAAAGTTTTATAATATTTATTATAGAACTTACCTCAAATGAGTTAGTTTCATTACAAATTTTTATTGAAAACTTATGGATACCTGAATTATATTATGAATTCAAAAGTTCGTCCAGGGAAGTACTCCCACCTTACCAATTTCTGTCGCCTAGCAGTAACATGAGCATTATTGAGTTTCGGTTTTAATAAGGGTGTTACAGGTGAAATTACAGGCACGTGGGACGTATCAACTTGTATGTCTCAGTATGACGGGCGCAATGGTAGTGCCCCTCAAATCTTAGTGATTTTAAACTCTGAATGGCACTGCAATTGTTATGTACAGGTGTGTCGCTTAACACCAGGCGCAAGACTTATTCGTCACTTATTATCATAAAAAAAAACAACCTGTGGATAAGCTAGATTGTATTCGGTGTAAAAATAAAACTCGGTGTACGTAGGCATGTAAATTCTCTTATACAGTTTGCTTTATTTCTGTTTTCCTAACTTCCAGATGAACTACCACCACAAATCCAGCTAGAAACGACGAAAGCACTAATAGCCACAGGCTTGAAACGAGGCATCATCAGCCCCCATTACAAGTTGATCGGTCACAGTCAAGCCACGACCACGGAATGTCCTGGCACTGCTTTGCTGGACCACATTGCGACGTGGCCTCATTACGTACCTGGAAAAATTGACTTTTAGTAATAATATGTACCTATTAATATATTTGAAACTTTAAAAAAATCGAACTCTATAGTTTGCTAATCCGTTTTATTTTCATTGGAATTATTTATTCAAAGTATAGGAAGTTTTATTGAAGTCATTTAACGGAAAGTAAGTGAAATTCAGTGGCGAAAAGCGGATTTATACACAAATTTTCCACTCTTGCAAGTGGAATATTTTCTTCAAATTTGAATGAATACAAACTTGAATTTGAATATCTTAATTTTTATCTTGTTTAAGCAGCAATTTACTCTTCAAATTAAAGGTTTTTTTTTATATGAAATAATTAGTAGAATACGTTATCGATGTGCCATTGAAGAGCGAATACCAAAAAATTGCAATGGCTGTTGAATAATAGCTCGATGGCTAGCCACTTCTCTTGAGAGATAAGTTTAAAGAAATTAACATGCTTATACTAGCGTCACAGTACATTTATGAAAATGTAATATAAGTTAAGAGGAATAATAATTTCTTTTAGGAAATGAAACTATTTTTCCGGATTTAAATCGCGTATATTTGTTTTTTTCAAACAAACCGACGTTTCGGGCCCTTTACAGGTCCCATGGTCACGGTTGACTGAGGTGGTACAGTCTTCAACCAGTTATTAGTTTGAAAAAACAAATATACGCGATTTAAATCCGGAAAAATAGTTTCATTTCCTATGTGTAACAATCGGGAAAACCTAAGAACTTTAAGTAATTTCTTTGTCAAAAATAGTGACAGACATAAGATTAATACGAGGAATGAAAATAAAGTAGCTACCACAACCTCTTACAACAATATTACTTTAACCTTACATTGACTTTTCGTACCATAACGCGCTTAAAGTAAGCTTATTATAATGTTAAAACTATGATGTTTTATTGGCAGCTTAGTGACTATTCATTCACTCAGTTCGTACTATGACGCAGTAATATTGCTCTTATGTCAAATTTAGCAATCTTAAAATAGTTACACGGATGCAATGAAAACAATATTATTTTCAGTTTTATTGTCTTAATATTGAATTGAAAATTGTAACGATTAAAAGTTAAGTTGAATTTATTCATTTACATATCAACATTTCAACTTCAACATTTTGTTTTTTTTTTTTTAATTAATTTCTCGTTAAATTTTAATACGATGCGACATCGATGCGATGTTTATTTTGTAAAATTATGACAGCAACATCAGTATGCTCCTTGGCGACACTAACAATTGACACTAGACTATTATTCCGAATTCACAACGTGACAATCAAGACTAAGCTTGTTTGTTGTTTCTTCATGAAAATGCGGAAAAATAATTGAAAGCAACGTAATTTTAATACATTTCATTATTACATACTTTTCTTTTTTGGCAGTTACAATTGTTATTCTCTGAATGTAAATAATATTAAGTACTTTTATATTATACTACGATAGGACATTTCAGAACATCAAAAAAGAAAGAGATGGCTTTATACAGTTCATGTAGCGCTATTTCTTTCTTACTTTTAGTAAGGAATAGACAATGTTGGGAAATCATTCGTTCTTTCAATCACTTTAGCAATAATACATTACTTGGTTGACAGGTTCGTCATGGTACGAATATGAGTATTATTATAATACGCTTACTATACGCTTACTTTGAAATAAGATTGTTTTTTGAAAGGTTATGGTAGGCCGCCTGTTCTTGATAGTCGTCGTCACAAAGTTACAAATTCATTTAAGGGGCAATGTATACGCTTCTATAACAAGATTCTGGTTGAAATACAAAATTTTCCATTCACGAGGTTTAAAACTATAGAGAAACAAAAACTTCTTACTAAAGATTATTATACAAATACTTGGATGACAAAAATGTTGTTGGTTTTGTGTTTATTCTATTTCGGAATGATTCGCTGCTTTGCTGAAATCGGTGGCTCAAGTAGTGGTCAACAAATCAGTGTGGTATACAACTACGTCATCGCTTGCAGCAGACATTACGAAAAGCATCTTTGACTAGAACAGACGTGTTTTCGTTTTGTTTGGATTTATAGTGAAAGATCTTATAATATAATTTATAACAGTCACTTGAGTCTCATTTGGAAAATTCCCAAAGAATTGTATAACTATATATTTTGTTTTTATATTAAAAAAATTCAATATAAAATCAAATTACAAGCAACAAAAGATATTAATTAAGTAGGTTTGTAGAATTATTTAAATCGAAGTGAACTTTCTTCGTTATCGTTGGCGAGGTACCGGTGTCCACACTCGCTATGGAACCTCTCAATGCGCTAGTCACCTATGTTCAGCAGTGGACATCTTTCGGCTGAAATGATGACGGTGATGATAATGCTTGTAATTCTGGGGCCTAGACGTCCAACTTGAAATTTATTAACCTGACTTAATATACTAAAATCTATGTCAGAAATTGCATGTCACAACTACATGTGTTGTGACATACAACTACCGTGTAAGGAAAGTTTCAATTTTGCGATACTTCAATCGCCAGAATGTTAGCACTCGAGATTATCAACTAACGTGTTTATACTTCATATAACAAGTGTTTATGATGCTATCAAAAATAAGTACCTACTTACAAAAAGCCTTTTATAAGTGTTGCTTTGTAGAGATAAGCTTGATAAGTCGCCTTTAGGGTTGGCGCAAATACTACTTGATAACAATTTGTAAACAGAGGTGGGCAGTAGGTTTAAAACCCAATCCACCTGCCCGTGTTTTTACCCAAAGCGCCGTCAGGTTAAAACCTGAACGCTTGCCCATCTCTGTTTCTAATTGACAATTATTGCAACCAAAAGATAATATTGCGACTCACTCGAAATTACATCGAGAACATTCTCGCATGTTGTTGTGCAGTGATTTCTGGACTTCGTCGCACTTGACAACTAACATAGTATTATCATAGTATTTTGTAGGCAGGCAGGGTGGAGGTGGCTAGTGCAGTGAGGATTTCATCGCTGCACTAGGTTCCTTCGCGTTTGAATACCACTTTCCACTTAACATCCGGTGGGAGTGGAGTATTTTGCCTTTAATGTATAAAAAAAAAAAAAAAAAAAAAAATATCTCAAAATTGCGTTATATTAATAATTTATCTCCAAAATTTCACTATATTGAAGTGTCATTCATATACGACTTAATTTCAAAGTGACAGGACAACACTGTCGCTTTGAAACTAAATAGGTAATGAGACTATTTTTTTGAATTGAAATATTTGTTTTTTAACCGAAATTTCGGGAGACGACGGTTTGTTTGAAAAAACAAATATTCGCAATTTAAGTAGTTTAATTTCTTATGTGTAACCATCGCGAAAGCCTAAGAACTCGATAAATAGGTAATATGAATACAACTTAAAGCCATTTCCAGATAATAATATGTTAGTTGTCATGTGCGATATACCATTGTATGCGGTTTTAAACAGACAAACAGCAGGTATTCACACGATAGATTTTCATCCGTCTAAATGGCCGCAGCATTCATATAGCAATTACCCTGATTACACACGTTTATAGTGGATCCACGCTTTTTAGCACTTTTATACTGGCGTAGAAAACGCCAAGGGTTTCCCTCTCGGTGTAACAGAAGGTATTATTGGGTTCATCCACAGAGATATATCTAAATAGACAACACAAGTGTACACTTAACCGTGTAATAGACAACGTAAGTGTAAAGAGCTTTATTTATCTACATTAAAATAACAATAATTTAGCTTTAAATAATATTATCAAAAGTTATACCTACATGTAGATAAAAAAGGTAAGAGTCTCCGCATCAGCTGTTCAGACTTTATTTACCCTTTTTTGGTGGAGCTCGCTACATTTTGTATTAGTAGTTGTGTTACCTACCACAACCACTTAAAATAATAGTACTTTAGCCTTACATTGACTTTTCGTACCATGATGCATAAAGTAAGCTCATTATAATATTAAAACTGTGGTGTTTTATTGACAGCTATGTGACTATTCATTCACTCTTTCCTATTTTTAGTAAGGAATAGACAATACTGGGAAATAATTCGTTCTTTCAATCACTTTAGCAATAATATATTACTTGGTTGACAGGTTTGTCGTTGTACGAGTATAAGTAATATAATATTATAATAAGCTTCTTTTAAGCTTACATTGAAATAAGATTGTTTTTCGGAAGGTTATGGCGTGGCCTTCTGATTAGTTCCTATAAAATTAACACTAAAATATAACTCAAATTGTCATGATAATACCCGAGTCACATAAAATATTCAACTTCTAATTTGAAGTTTAGGTAGGGATGAACAGCACTTTTTTTATACACAGGAAAACGCATACCCCGCCGCGGGCAATGACATGGCGGAGTTATGTGGGACTCTCCTCCGTTGGTCCATCCGGCGATACAAGCTCGCCCGATGGATCCTCGGAGCCCTACCCGCTAAAAACCTGTGTATGGACCCTCACCCACCGGTGCCGACTCGTGGGATTCCGTTAAGACTCGCCACTCACACCGGTGAGGCATGAACAGCACTTACAACAAATACACAACAAAAAATAAAAAAAAATAGTGCCTTTACAAACTGCAAAACAACACAGTTTGACTTGATGAATAAACAGGAACGTTTCCTTCTACAGTTAAGTCATTTTGTAATCAAAATATGATTAATTTGTTTTTAAATTAATTATTATGATTTAGGATAATATTGGTAGCGCATAGTTATGCAATTAGAAATAGACCGTTTGTTACTAGCTTTGTACTGCTGTTTTCAGTCACTAATAAAATAAAATAAAATAAATATGCAAATATCGCATAATTCGTAATATATTGCGGCTTTAAAATTATGTGTGGTAATAAAATTAGTATTATAACGAAATGTAAACAGAAAAATGAATGTGTTGCTACCATGAAAATGTCACGACTTAGCGTAATGCCATTCTGGAAACTGACGCTGATCTTCAGTCGCATGTTCATACCTACGTTCCGGCGTCGGCCGACAAGAAGAAGATCAATAATGATATCAAACTAGTAAATATTTTCACAAAAATGAATATCATGGTAATAAAACATCATGATATTCATTAAATAAAAATTATCAATAAAAAAAAAGTCATTTACACTACTGATATAACTTATCGGGTGTTGACTTATTCTGTGGTGTAACATGATATTTCTATGCGTAGCAATATAGGGCTATTCAAGATAAAAGTGAATTGGCATTTACTAACAAATGCGTAACATCGTCGGCCAAATCGCCATTAACATCAGTAAGTGTGGTGTGTGTGTGTGTGTGTATTTTTTAAACGACTTCAAAAAAAGAAGGAGGTTCTCAATTCGACAATATGTTTTTTGTTGTATGTATGTTACGCAATAATTTTTGTGAACCGCATTTGTGAACGCATTTGTGAACCGATTTTGATGATTTTTTTTGTTGGTCCCATTTAGATTTGAAGAAAATACCATCCATATCCACCTCTATGGGTGGCAAAGTAGAGGATGAATGACTTTTGAGGTCGGTTTTTTAGTACTCTGTACTGAGATTATTTCAATTAAATACCTATTCTTATTTCGGAAAAATGTCCATGTTGTTAATACAATGAATATTTTACTTTTCTAATGTAAAGTAAATTATTCATTACAGACTATAGATATTAGTAAGACTCACATACACTAAATTACATTTTGAACTATCAAAGCACAGTCTTAAGACGATGAGTACCGTCAATTACGCTTCACTTTAAAGCGTTTTTAGCAAGATCTGTTCAACATGTGGCAGTGGAAAAAATGTATATTATTCTTCATGTTGTTGTTTCCAAAACACGATTTTATAATATTTTCTAGTTAAAAAAATGCAAAAAAAAACTTTAAAAAAAAATCGAAGTTACCTCGTATTCTACACTTTCAACAAATTTTGAAGAATAATGTATTATTATCCAATAGTGAAAGCCGCCGTTGTTTTATTTTTTCCATTTTAAACCTAATTTTGGAAATAAACCCATTTTTGAGACGAGCGCAAACTGTTGGTAGTTTCTTCTCTTTTATGCATACGAAAGTGATAACTGAGACACGTTGCTTGATGACCTATGTCGCCCGCATTACACCTAGCTAGCTAATTCATTTCATAATTGTAATATAGTAGGCGTGGCTTAAAACAGCAATCGCTCAAGGTCGTCGACGCTTTTCAGCGTCTTCACACACTTGACAAGTACGGCAACCCATTACCACAGAATTGGTCTGGCGTCCAGAAAGGAGCTGTTGACGCTGCCCCCTACCCTGCGAAACCTAATATAATAAAGAATATGTGTAACAACAAAAAAATAGATTACTTTTACCACGATCTAGTCTAGTAGTGCGTTATTATTATAAGTATAATAATAATATACAGTGCGTTATTATTATAAGTATAATAATAACGCACACAATCAACATAGCCCCGCACTAGAGACACCCGGGGTCGCGGGTGCCATGAACACATACATAGACAACCACAAATTACACCCAAACTCACGAGAGAAATAAATGTCGTCCATACAAATATTTCTCCCGGCCTGGGAATCGAACCTGGGACCTCAGCGTGACAGTCCGGCATGGTAACCATTTGGTCACGGAGGCAGCTGATTATAATGAAAATGATTGTCTAATTGAAAACTTGTAACCTTATGGAACAGTTGAAAACAGCCTACGCTTACTCTCTTCCATTCTACTATGTTGTGCCCGAAAGGGTCAATGATATGAGGTCTTTTACTATGTAACACCCTGTACACCATTGTGGAATGCAATTAAAGCATATTGAATACTATACTTTTGAAACCGTCTATGCGTGCCTCAACGCACATTCCCGATGCGGTAAGGCATAGTACAAAACAAAAAATAATAATTAGAATAATAAATAATAAATAACGCACACACTCAACATAGCCCCGCACTAGGAAAACCCTGTGTCGCGGGTGCCATGGACACACACATAGATAACCACAATTACACCCAAACTCACGAGACAAATAATTGTAGGCCATACAACTATTTCTCCCGGCCCGGGAATCGAACCTGGGACCTCTGCGTGGCAGTCCGGCATGGTATCCGTTCGGCTACGGAGGCAGTTCAAAAATATGGGATTGATCTAAAGAGAGGCTAGACGCGAACTAGATGTCGTGAAGGTATGCTTCGGCTGGGTCGCTTCAAATTGCATCGCAGCTAGGCAACGCGATGCATTGCAATTCCTTTGCAAATGAGCAATGCAACATAAACTACAAGATAAGGTTCCAGTTATACAAACAAAAAATTAAAAATAAGGAAAAGTAACACTTCGTATTGCCCGGACGGCACATGCTGTCGACAACAGGATACGCCGCGACCGCTGCTTTACTCTTTTCGTTAGAAGAAATACACATATATACTTATTGCATATGCAATTTATATAATGCGCCCAGATAGAGCACAGACAGACCCCGCCCGCCGCCGTTTGCTACATCATCTTTTCATTGGTATATACGATATATATACGAAAGTAAATAGACAAATAGATAGATATACATTTTATTGCTCACACATAAGAACAAAAACAGTACATAGACAGCTTAAAGCTATTATAGAGCGAAATCCATAGTGCGCCAATAGTAAAATTTGAATTGATAAAGATAGATGAAAATAAACATTAATTTTATTAAATAATAAATAACGATATACGAGTAGTTTACCTACATTATATTAGTATATATAAATATACCCGAATAAACTTATATCTACCAATGAATATACACGTTGCAGACTACATTCAGCACATGAGACTTTTTCAACTTATGTGTCAAGGCGACGGGCGCAGTGGCAATGCCCCTAAGATCTTTGCAATTTAAAGGTCTGAGTGGCACTGCAACTGTTATGGACAGGCGTGTCACTTACCATCAGGCGCACGACTTGTACGTCCCGTCACTTGATATTATAAATAAGAAAACCAAGTAATATAGAAATAATGTCCATGAACGGGTTAAGTTAATTAACTTCGAACTCAACTGAAGAAGGAAAAATACACAAAACCATGGTTCGTTGATCGTATGGTTTTTCCAGTTCATCGATAATAAAAAAAAGGTAGGATGTCGTGTCTTTGGTTCACGTCTATGGTTAATCAATAATAATACAAACTGAGTATAAACCTTTTATACGCAATCATACATTTGAATGTTATAAAACTTAAAAAAATCTTTTATAACTATGTAAGTATCCACGCAAATACAACGCTTCATTAAGAATTTTCTTCAATGGCCGGTGTTATGTATCCAAAAATAGTTTACAAAGTTGTTTTTTCTACATAACGAAACAATAAACAAAAACAGTTTCAGTCTTACTTCGTTCCTATAAGGTTTTTTTTACAGTAATTTATGTGATTATTGTACAGTCAAATACATTAGATATCTGACCCGATAACATACCCAAACCGACCTTTTGGTTCTGAGAGCCATCTTACGTATTGAACAAAGAAAAAATTAAAGCAATTTCAATTTTATCGAATAATCAATACAGTGGAGTGTTGCTTGAAAATGATCAACTTATTTTTAAAACCAATGCTAAATTTCGTTACTTAACATCCAAGTAAATTGGTCGAGCGGCTTGTTGTATGACTGCCACTTACAATTTTCGTGGTTCGATTCTACGAGCACTATTATGTTTTATCGTTATATTTTTAACAGCATTGTTTCACTTGTCAATGCTAGCGGTGACAAATCGCAATATTTGCTCACTACAAATTACCTAAAATTACAAATTACCCGCCCTACGCTTTATTAATAATATCTACCCAAGATATTATTAATAAAGCGTAGGGTGGGTATGGATCTTAGAAAATATGGATAGATTAACAAATCCCGAAATCACTCTGAAGTTTGCATACGATCGTGTCTTCTTCTATGATTACGCATTGTTCTGTGTTTCATTCCCATTTATCTATTCAGTTTTAACTTTCAAAGTTTTCTTTCTTGTTTTAATAATATGCCGCACTTAACGAAATTATTAAAATTAGAAATTATTTTTTATGAACATGACTAAGGGTCGTATTCTAGAACTCTACTCAATGCTCAAGTCAGGATTGCACTGGAAACACAAGCACTGGAATACGACCCTAATGGCAGGGACTTGAGTATGATTTCGAGTGCTTTAAACCATACTCAAATCCTGACTTGAGCATTGAGTAGAGTTCTAGAGTATGACCCTTAGATATTCCTTATACCTATCCTGAGGTTAAAAAAAACTATATTATATAATCATAGCCAAATAATATTTTATTTTTAATGTGGCTCGAACCATGCTTGCCTCAACTTGCAAAGCAATGCATAAACCGCTAGGCCACGACGAAGTAAGAACTATACGTTAAAGATCAAATTGGCTTAAAAACTTTCTTACAATGTCATTAACGATTGAGACGACCAGGGAGTCACACCAAAATAAATTTTACGGCTCACAAGTTAAAGATTAAGTTTGTTTAACAATTTCCTCCACATTTTTGTGCTCAGTACCAAAAGGTC